TGTCGGCATTTGACGTTCTCATCGACACCATTTTTAGACAATTTAGAAAGTGCGCTTCGATACCCTGCTTGTCATTGTCAGCGCCAACACACCTGGGCCGAGAACTGAGAGCGAAGGATACAACGTCCAAACAGAAAGACAAAAATACTCAATAAAATTCATGACACACACGAATCGAACCCCGGTCTTCTGCGTGCGACGGCAGATTTCCTAACATCTACACTGAGGACGCATGTACATTAGAAGAGTGCAAAATTAGACAGAAGTATGACAAATAAGAATAAACGTCACCACTGTCAGAGTAAACGCTTTTATTACAGTGGCAATAAATCATGCAGCAATTCATAACACACTAGAATAAGAGTATCTATTTTCGCAACAAACAAAAACATTTTAAACACTACTTTTTTGTAATTGCAATTGTATTGTTTCATGAACTGCCATCATTTAGGAGAAAAATCTATAAGACTCTCGAGGTTATGCTTCAAAACAGTGCGTCTTCAAGCCTGCTTGTATCACCAAGGGCAGTAGATCAATGACAGGAAAATTGAACTTTTTAAAAAAACAAAAAAAACCCAACAAAACAACCCCCCCCCCCAGAAAAACAGAAGAAAGAAGGGAAATGGGTTGGGGATAGAAGGGTGGAAGTTTGGCAGGGTGCTGTTTATTTATTGTTTATAAGTTATTACATTAAAAGCAGAACACAATATTTTCATCTTACGCAAAACAGATGAATCAGTTTATGACTAAGCTACTAAGAGGAACCTATGTATTTTAAGTGTATTTCACACATTTATGAGGTGAAAATCATTACAACTAACTGGTCCTGCTAACTGTAGCCAGTTTTTCAATTTGTTATTTTGTCATGGTGTGGAAAGCGTGACATTCCTATCCCATTTTTCTCGTAAAGCTTGATGATGATGATGGTGATGATGACGATGATGATGATGATGATGATGATGATGATGATGATGATGATGATGATGATGATTCATTCTATAATACAAATCAACTTCAATGTCTTTTTCCTCGCTGAGTAAAGCCTGGCTCTTTGTTGTATAAGATTTATGTTTTACATCAACAGGCATAAATTCCTTGTTTCACCATTCTACATTTTTTCTTCCTCTTTCTTAATGTTGTAAAGGAGTAGATCTAATCTTTATCGATGGTCTATCTCTTCGTCTATCTTCCCTCTTATCTGTCGGTCTATTTTTCAGTCTGCATGTCCTTTCGTCAATCTGCTAGTTCCTGTACGTTTCTCCACCCCTCGCCTCCTCCCCCACCCCCACCACCCTTTGTCAGTAAATGCGTTTGTTTCCCAGCCTGAACTCCCTCCACTCCATCCACCCCACCCCCCACGCCTTCTCCAAATTACCTCGCTGACACCATCCCTCTCCCCACTCCAGCCCTCAATTTTAAAAAAGAATTTCCACCATTAGCAACAATACCCCTGTTCTTTTCATGATACTCATCGCCAAAGCATCAAGTTCTTCGACTGCTTAACCGCGCAACAGAGATCGGGAGCTGGCATTGATCGAAACGATCTCCATTTTGCGTTGTATTAGTCAATTTTCGGTATGGCCATTATTTGAGCGGAAACCAAGACAGACGCCGGTTGCCCGGAATATCTCTTGCCGATGGCGTTTACTTTACGCGAGCATTCCATCTAGTTTCTAGGAACCTTATTTCTTCTGCCTATCCGTTTGTCTTATCGTCTATATTTATATGCCTGATAACTTGTCTGTCTGCCCTGTCTACGATTGGTACGTCGCTCTGTCTCGTTTAGAGATTTTATGTCCACTTGGTCTACAGTTTTATATCAGAATGAGATCTGGCATGCTTTGCCCAGTAGTTTATTAGATATCAAATCCGTAAATTCATTCAAATGTGAGCTAAAGTCATATCTGTAGTAATTTAAAGTAATGCAATGAATATTTAGAGAAAGGTTTTCTTTTGTTCAGAACACAAAGTACTGATAAAATATAATATGTTACTGTTGTATTGTAAAGCGCCACAGACTGTGTACTTTAAACGGAGTTGACTGCTATATAAATGCATTATTATCATTATTATCATTATTATTATTTTTATTA